GTGTTTAGCGGATGTATTGTATGTTGTTGACATGCTGTTGGGGTGTTGTTTAGTTGATGTATGTTGTTGACATGCTGTTGGTGTGTTGTTCAGTTGATGTGTTGTTGATGTTTTGCTGGCATGTTTGTGTGTTGTTGGCATGTTATTGGCATGTTGTTGTTCAGAAGATATGTTGTTTGGATGTTGCTGATGTGTTGTAGACGTGTTGTTGTTCAGTTGATGTGTTTTTGATGTGTTGTTGGTGTATTGTTGACATGTTGGTGTGTTGTTGTTTAGTTCATGTGTTGTTAACATGTTGCTGAGACATTGTTGGTGTGTTGTTAGCATGCTGTTGACATAATGACATGGTGTTAACATGTTGGTGTATTAATATGCTGTTGACGTGCTTTTCAGTTGATGTGTTGTTGACGTGTTGTTGACATGTTTTTGGAGGTTTGTTGTTCAGGTGATTGTTGTTGACGTGTAGTTGGCAAATTGTTGGCATGTTGTTGGTGTGATATTGTTCAGTTGATGTGTTGTTGACATGTTTTTGTTGATGTGTTGTTGGCATGTTTTTGGTGTGTTCAGCTATCAGACCTCCTCAGCCATCTGCAGCAGAGAATTAATGGCAGCGTCCTTGTTGCCCTGTTGGGCCTCCAGAACTGTACGGACCACCTCTGGGTCCAGGTTTGGAAACATGTCCTGTAGAGCCTTCAGGTCCTCCTCACTGCAGGCAGGCCCTGGACCCCCCATTGCTGGCATGTTGGTTGGTACCGCCATCGGTACCACACCCTGGCTATAGACTCCAGGAACGCCTGGAAACAAAGCTTCAACTCAGTACAAAGAACAGCTTTACACACGCGAGCAGTGCACAGGTGTGTACCTTTGTGTGTACATGTGTGTATACCTAAATACCAGAGGTGTAACAATACACTGATTTACATAGATATATCGATTAAATTATTAATGATTCAATTATATTGTGGCAAAACTAAAACATAAATTCATATTGTCATCTTTAAAATATGCTTTTATTTTGAAATTCCCAAGGCACATCTGTGTCACCATTTCTGTGTGCGGCTGCGCTCAGTGGCCGCCTCAGCAACATGGCAGACGAGGCAGAAAACACAGATAATGAAATTCACTCTCCTGCTGGATTTAAATCAACACAGTGGAAATATTTTTAATTCCAACAGAAGGACGGCTCAACAGACAAATCTCATGCCGTATGCACCAGGTGCCAGTGAGAGTTAAAATATTCAGGAAAAAACTAATTTGGCCGTTCACCTGAAGAAGAAACACGGCATTGATAGCCATGTTATGTAAGCTCAATATCTATTTTTGTTTCTTTATAACTGAAAGGTAATCAGAGCACTTTTAAGTTAACTTGTTTAAAAAATGCACTTAAACATGAGAAATGTGAGACTATACTGAACAGGTCATTTATTTTTATTTTTTCATTAATTAAGAAAAAACTTTTTTTTAAATGCCTGGTGCCTGTAATAGAAATAAAATGGTTAAATCATACTTGAATTGTTTTTGTAAATTTATTTATATGTAAATGAGATGGGCATTTGATATCGCAATATATCGATCGCAGATTGTGAATTGAGTAGAATTGAAATCGTATCGTGACAAACTTTGTGATATGGAGAAAAATCGTATCGTCATACAAACAAATCAATAAAATATCGTATCGTGGTAAAGCTGGTGATTTACACCCCTACTAAATATCTGTGTGTGTGTACCCATGTTTGTACCCGTGTGTGTACCCGTGTGTCTGACCTGTGATGGGAACGTATCCGACCCCCTCCTGATAGACGGATGGCATCAGAACCACAGGCTGACTCATCACAGCAGCAGGTAATGACTGAAACAGAGGAACCATCAGAATCATCAAAGCTGGGGTAACTTCCTGTTGGTGTGAGAGGAATGATTTTCAGATTAGATCTGAGATGTTTCTGAGTTTTCATCAAAAACTTCCTCGATCTTCTACATTTTATTTAAAGCATAAACTTGAAATCTGCTGCTGACAACCAGGACAGCACTTAAAGGGACAGTTCAAACACTCTGAAGAGGGGTTCTGTTAAAAGTTATACATACTGAATGTCTTACCTGCTGTAGATAACTTTGACCTCAGTTTATTGAACTGATTTTTTTTCTGACAGAACTGATGAGCTAAAGGCTAGTCAGAACAGGATTAAAGAGTTTTTCTGTCCTCTTAATAAATAAACGAATCAAACCCCGTTTTAAAACCTTCAGACTCACATTGCTCTTTATTTACATGAAATTCAGGCATCGTTGTCAAATGAAAGTAGCAGCAGCTAGCAGTAGCCCTTCCAGTGCAGAACGTGTCACTTCCTGCAGGAAAGTCTTAATTTTTCTGCCAAATTACCACGTGACGTGGAACTGACGATGTGTTGGAATAACAGCGTTTACAGGAACCTAGAAGAAGATGGCAGCTTTGGAACCATCAACCCATGATCAGAACCCATTCATCCTCAAAACACACACGCACGCACACACACAGAGGAAGCAGATGAGTGTGTGTGAACAGACTTACAGCGAACGACATCACCAGGTTGATCATGCCCTCCTTATCGTCGCCTTGACGACCGCTCAGGCTGTACCACTCGTCCACCACGCTGCCCTCCCTCAGACCCTCAGGGACGGTCACATGGGTCCATGCGATCCTGTCATCCATTGAGAACGCCCTCTGTACGCCGTCAACAACAACAACAAACAAACAAACACACATTAAACTGAGGAGGTGATGCTTGCGAGTGATCAAGGAGTTCATCACAGCTTCAAAAATCTGGGGTTAGCTATGGTGGCCATCTTGAATCCTGTTGGCCTACTCCCATTGATAACTTTCTGAGAGAAATAAAGATTTGTGCACTGGTTCAGGAGATATTTTACTAACACAACTTTCACATGGAGGCAATTACATGATTCCCCATCTGTTATGGCAAAAAGATCTGACAAGTGATAAAAGTGATTTATGACTGCTGACGTATAAAAATAAAACAAAGATCTGTTCATGTGACCTGCTGCAGAACCACATCATCCACCACCTTCATCCTCATCATCCTCTTTACCTGTTTTTCCGTCGAGGCTCTTTTAGCAGCTTCCGTTTCTCTGCAGCAGTTTGAACTCTGAACTTTTTCCTCTCATGAACCAGTTTCTGTGTGAAATGTGACTGTTGGAGATTAACACCGTCTTGAGAAAGTCTCTAAATAGTCTGGAAATGTTTTCGAGGGTTCTCAGTTTCCATGTGCAGGCCTTCCTGCAGCTGAAGTGTAAACATGATGAGTTTCTTGTTTCGATGAGGTCTACGAGTTGTTTAATGTTTCTACGAGTCACAGAGTCCAGGTCTTGCACTCACTGCAGTTTCTGAGAGTCAGAAACTGAGAAATGTGAAGAATGAGAAACCAAAGAGTGACCTGAGACAATCTGAACGTTCTTTAACAAACGTGTCCAGAACCAACTGAGCGTGAGTAAACGTGAGACTGTGTGTCCCCATCAGGCTCCTCCAGAACCAGCCTGCAGCTTCTTCTTCTATGGTGTGTGACACTTCACAGTTTGGTTCTGTTTTGTCCACATCAACACGTGATTTATGTTAGAAACGCTTTCACGCCTCACCTCATCAAAGATCTCCAGGTAGAAGGAGTCCACCCCCGGGGGAACCGTACACTGGATCACTTTGTTCCACCGCGGGTTCTTGGCTCCATTATGAGCTGTCGGGGTCTCATAGACCGCATAGCCCAATCTGATCCGACAATATGGATCCATCCTGGTCATCCCGTAGTTTTTAGCCAGTTTGGCCTGTTAAAAATCAAAAACAGAGTTTTAATCAGAGACATAAAGGAACCAACACAGAGTCATTCTGAGAACTCTACAGGTCCAGCAGGACCCAGTCTCTGTACCTGGACCACAGTGATGCTGAGCCGACCCATTGTGGCGATGGAGCCTCCGTATTGCAGCTGCCGGGCCGCCTGGGCGTCCAACTGGACCTGCTGCTGCTGCTGGGTGGGAGTGATCCTCAGGAAGTCCTGAGGGAGTTCTCCAACATACACCTACACACACACACACACACACACACACACACACACACACACACACACATGCGTCAGCTGAATTAAATCTAAAACTGTCATAAACTGAGTTTTGTCAGAGAGCTGTAAGTTTACGATCAGTTTTTGATTTTGAGTCTTTCATGGATGAAGTCCTGAATCTCGGTCTGTCCTACCTGAAAAATAAAACTTAATTTCTGAAGGTCTTCTCCGGACCCCGACTTGATGTTTCAGGACCCACAGGGGGGCCCCTCACCGGCACTTTAAAAACCAGGGAATCAAAGGTCTGACTGCCAGGTCGAGTGATACTACCACCTGGGTCTGCAGGTTCACCTGGTCGGGTCAGCTGACCGGCCTCAGGTTCACAGCTACTATGCGCATGCTCGATTGGGTTCGGTCCAGGTGAGACTTTATGTTTACTAACAGGAAGCTGTTGGCGGGACTTACCTGTCCTCTCTGGGTGCTGACGGTGGTCGCCATCTTGTCTTTTCACAGATTCTTCAAACCAAAACAAACACAGAACCAGAAACAGACGTTACGGATTCATTAAGAACAACCGAAGGTTCCGAGCTCGGACTGGAGTTTACCCCTGCTTCACTTCCTGTTTCCGGTTTGTTTTGATCCCAGTGAAGGAGCTCTGGTGCCCCCTGCTGCCGGAAGTCTTACTGTTACGTTTATTTGTCATATGCAGGTTAACTATGGTTAATGAAATGTTCAGGATGAGAAGAATCGATTTGACTCGCTACAAACAAACAAGAAATACGCATGCAATAAGGGTACACATTTATTTATCTTCTTCTTCCGGCTGCTCCCTTCTTCAGGGGTCGCCACAGCGAACTAAGTCGCACAAAGATTTGGCCGGATGCTCTAGCTTCCTGACAACCACAGAGCTACCACAGCCCTCTGTGTGGAGCAGGGAGCTGCCATCTGTGGTGCCCATGGGAACAGATGGTAGAGGTCAAGGGCCTTGCTCAAGAGCCCAGGGTGGAGGCAGGCACGGGTGCTTCACCTATCTCACCCACACATTGATGTTGTCGGTACTGGGAGTTGTACGGTGATCTTCCAATCACAGGCCCACCTTCTCTAGCCTCTGCACCACCATGCCCCAATAAGGGTACAAAATAAAGTACCAAGAAGTGAAAAAGAAATATAATATTTACAAGGTCCAAAAGAGAAATAGTAAAGAACAACATAGTAGAATATAACAGTGCAAGTAAAATGAATTTGTACGAATAAGTATTTCCCAGGTAGTAATACAGTATGAGCTTAAATGTACATGATATACCTGTAGATTGCACATCATAACTAACATAAACTACACAGGTTGTGTGACAGGTTATTTGCACAGGTAGTAACACTGAAAGAATAATTGAATGATGGTCAGGTAACATACATGGCATATGTGACATACATGACATGTTCTTCACTTGGACTCTCTGATCCAGACTAAAACCTGGAGCTTCTGATCGGGACCTGGATCATCAGACTAAAACTGTCTCTGATCCGGACCTGGTTTAGGTTCGAGCTCTTCACCTCCCTCCTGGCAGCTGGGTGGTATCACGAACCTCTGCAGGACAGGTCTACCTGGAAGAACTGGTCAAAGGTCAAAACAGTTTCACCAAATGTTGGTCTGTACATGTACAGTAGAGTTCTTCTGGGATCCTTTGAAGATGGACAGTTTCCATTTCCTGTTTTATTGTGAAAAATGTTTTCATTTCCTGATCTATTGTGAAAAACCTTTAACTGTTTCATTATTTTCTGATTCGATCAGAAATTATTAATTTGAACCATCATAAGAACACCATCAACCCTAAAATACACACATTATATAAATACAATATACATAAGTACACTTATACATAAATACACACATCTTGAATGTACTTCTTTAGAGGAGTAGCCAGAGCTCTGATGCATCCCTTAGCAAAAAGTAGTTTATTTACGTGTACTATAAGTGTACTTATATTACACTAAAAATGAGGAAGTGTACTTGGTTTACTTTTTATAAACTTTATTTGATATACTTAAAAATATTATAAAAATGTCCCAATTTAGTCCAAACAAGTATTAAATCAGTATACTTCTAGTACACTACAAGTATGGTGTGTAGTATACTTGATATACTTATACTTAACTTAAAGTATACTTGCGAAAATAAACTTCAAATGTACTACTTTTTGTTAGGGGATTGTCTGACAGTAACTAGACTCATGGACATGTTGCCTTGATCTTAGCTTCCACCCTGTTTCTCCGTGGTTGGCAGTACTCTTTATTGATTGCCTTGATCTTATAGCCAAGCAAGTGAAGGATCATTGTGGCTTTTGTGCATACCAGCTTATGCGTCTCTGTGGTGGTGTCAGCAGGGATACTTAGCAATGCTGCATTCACATCTTCTAGCAGACTTCCAGAAGACAGTCATTTAGCCTTGGCAAGGGCTGCAGGTTATAGGTGCCTAACTTCGTCACAATCTTCATCCTCAGCACTTTAGTCCTATGAGTGTTTAAAGTGCTCTATAAATAAAGCTCGTATCGCATGGTATCCTCAGGTCAGCTGCCCCTGTATTCAGTTCCTCTGGGATTTTCAACAGGGCTTGGTACTCATATTTTGATGGGGATGATGGTATATCCCTCCTTAATGTAGCATCTATGGTGTATCTCATCAATCTCTAGGTGCGATAGCAGATTCCTCACTCTCATGTTGGAACACTGGGTCCAAAGTTGTGTCTGGGTCAATCTGGATGATGGGTATTGAAGTTTCCATAGTTCCCACATCCTTCCTCATATAGACCCCCCTCTAGGCTTGCTCGCACAAGTCGCTTCTCCACGGGAGTGGCTTTAATCAGTTCGCATTGACTCGGCATCGGCAAATTGTATTTCCATTACCAGTTCATGCTTGATTTTTGGACCCGCCTCAGCCATGGTTCCAAGCCAAGCCAAAGCCGACGATTTTGATGTCAGCAAACGGCAGCCATTAATTGGTCCGTGGATTGACTTCACTGGATGAGCCATGGCTGTACTTGCAAATTCCTCCTAAAACGCCATTTGAAATCCAATGGTCGCATAGCGCACTTTCCCCAAAATAAAAATGGTGAGGTGCAAATCCCATGGACCAATGATGAGGTGCAAACCTTTATATCAATTTTGGCTGACAAGCGCATACAGCGCGAGCTCAATGGAGCAATGAGGTATGGGTGAGTGTACCAGGTGTCTGAAAAACTATAGAAATTATATTCACACACACACACACACAATACCATGGATGGCCGATACACAGGAAGTCAACAAATCTGTAGGTTTAATGAAGTTAACAAACAACAGAAGTCGTTCCAACTAAAGTCCAGAAATATGATTTCCGTCCAGAATGAAGTATTGTATAATAAAATTTGACCTTTGAATTTTGATTAATTTAAATAAACTTTGAATAAACTGGTTTTGTGGGACCAAGTATTGTTCTTAAATCTCATTCTGTATCCACGTGAAGCAGTCAGGTCAAAGGTCAGCTCCAGCCAATTCTGGGGTCTTTAGTCATTATAATGTCCTCTGGAAGAGTTTCCTTAGATCTTCTGGTCTAAAGAAGACTGCATAAAATCCAGGATCTAAGGACTTCACAAGTTCAGTCTCTGACCCAGGATCTAGAGACTTCATGAGTTCAGTCTCTGACCCAGGATCTAGGGACTTCATGAGTTCAGTCTCTGACTCAGGATCTAGGGACTTCACAGGGTCAGTCTCTGACTCAGGATCTAGGAACTTCACAGTGTCAGTCTCTGACCCAGGATCTAAGGATGTCACAGGATCAGTCTTTGACCCAGAATCTAAGGACTTCACAGGGTCAGTCTCTGACCCAGAATCCAAGGATTTCACAGGATCAGTCTTTGACCCAGAATCTAAAGGACTTCACAGGTTCAGTCTTTGACCCAGAATCTAAAGGACTTCACAGGTTCAGTCTCTGACCCAGGATCTAAGGATTTCACAGGATCAGTCTTTGACCCAGGATCTTGCGGTTGATCTCAGCCAAAGCTACAGAAAACACGAAGGCCTTCTCATCAGACAGGCTGGCATAAATATCCACTTCTTTTTCTTGTTTATCTGTAAACAAAACAAAAAACAATAAATAGTGATGTCATCAATCACAATAGCACTGTGCAAAATTAAACCCCCACATCTCATTACTTCCCCCACCCCACAAGACAAAAGGCAGGAAATCATGTCATTGCATTTGTTTGTCTTTCTGTTAACAAAATACCGGTACCTCAAGAACCCCAGATCCATAAGAGCTAACACTGAACAACGTTACCCCCATGTTAGCATCAGGTTGTTTCCCTAACTTTAGCCTCACTTGAGCCTTAGGATCCTTCCATGTTAGCCCTGAGTTCTCAGTCTGTCTCTGTGTACGTGGTAGAACTGTATCTGGTCTTACTGAAGCTATTTTGGTTGGTACTCCACAATATCCTCGAATGGTGCTCTTATTGAGTTGAATAAATATTATTAATTATTACTGGTCTTGTTCCTGTTCAGACCTTAGATCCACAGCAGCTAAAGCTGCACACCCACCACTTAGAGTAATTGTTTAGATCTTGATCTAAAATCTATTGTCATGTCATAACAAACAACTTGAATATGCACATTTAAACCAACACATGGATATGGTTTGTTTAAATTAAATTATAAGAAATACTAGTTTTCAAACTTTGTTTTATTATTTTTCTCAGCCATTATCGAGGCCTTTATAAACTTTAGATTTCATCCGTGATAGGAACATTTTTTACCCTTTTCTTCTTCTTGTTTCTTTGGACCCACAGTTTTGGGTCTGCCCCGGCTCCTTCGGATGGTTTCTGACTGACTGTTCACTCGGGGTCTCCTTCGGTTCTCCATGTCACTGGTTAGAGGAGAACCAATCCTCTCTCTGCGAATCCTCTCCGTTCTTCTCCGCTTGAAGTCCAGCTTGTCTGAAACCAAAAATAACAACATTTACAATTATTAGGAAAGTAAAGACATTCTTCTGACTGGGTTTTATTCTTTTAAAATCACTTCTACTTCCACTGTAACAGAATCACAAAGCAGCTCTTTCTTTGAGGCTTGTTTAGGAAATGGGTCTTCAGACATTTCACTTGGTTTAATTGGTGGAAGACATGAATATTTTCCCCACACATTTTTTAGTATACCATAAGATACTGTGGGGAAAATAAGAATTTCATACGCAGTCAATTTTGAAAGTTTTCCAACCCTACAAAGAATGGAAAGGTCTATAATTTTATTGTCGGTACAATTCAACTGTAAGAGACAGAATATAAGGAACAAATCCAGAAAATCACATTGTATGATTTTTAAATTATTCATTTGCATTTTACTGCATGAAATAAGTGTTTGATACAATAGAAAAACAGAAGTGAATATTTGGTACAGACAACTTTGTTTGCACTTACAGAGTTCAGATGTTCCCTGTAGTTCTTGACCAGGTTTGGACACACCACAGCAGAGATTTTGGCCCACTCCTCCATACGGATCTTTTCCAGATCTTTCAAGTTTCGGGGCTGTTGCTGGACAATATTAAATTTCAGCTTCCTCCAAAGATTTTCTATTGGGTTCAGGTCTGGAGACTGGCGAGGCCACTCCAGGACCTTGAAATGCTTCTTAAGGAACCACTCCTTAGTTGCCCTGGCTGTGTGTTTCAGGTTGTTGTCATGCTGGAAGAGCCAGCCATGACCCATCTTCAATGCTCTTACTGAGGGAAGGAGGTTGTTGGCCAAAATCTCATGATACATGACCCCATCTATCCTCCCTTTAATATGGTGCAGTGGTCCTGTCCCCTTTGCAGAAAAGCACCCCAAAGTATGACATTTCCATTCCCATGCTTCACGGTTGGGACGGTGTTCTTGGAGTTGTACTCATCCTTCTTCCACCAAACACAGCAAGTAGAGTTGATGCCAAAAAGCTCAATTTTAGTCTCATCTGACCACATGACCTTCTCCCATGCCTCCCCTGGATCATCCAGATGATCATTGGTGAACATCAAACGGGCCTGGGCATGTGCTGGTATGAGCAGGGGGACCTTGCATGCCCTGCAGGATCTTAAACCATGACGGCGTAGTGTGTTACTAATGGTCCTCTTTGAGACTGTAGTCCCTGCTCTCTTCAGGTTGTTGACCAGGTCCTCCCGTGTAGTTCTGGGCTGATTCCTGACCATTCTCAGAGTCATCCTAAACCTACAAGGCAAGATCTTGCATGGAGCCCCTGACCGAGGAAGGTTTGAGTCATCTTGTGTTTCTTCCATTTGCTAATTGTGCCAACAGTTGTTGCCTTCTCACCAAGCTGCTTGCTTATTGTCCTGTAGCCCATGCCAGTGTTGTGCAGGTTTACAATTTTGTCCCTGGTGTCCTTAGACAGCACTTTGGTCTTGGCCTTGGTGTAGAGGTTGGAGTGTGATCGTTTGAACGTGTGGACAGGTGTCTTTTATACAAGTAACAAGTTCAAACAAGTGCAAATATTACGGGTAATAAATGCAGAATAGGAGGGCTTCTTAAAGAAAAACTAACGGGTCTGTGAGAGACAGAAATCTTGCTGGTTGGTAGGTGATCAAACACTTATTTCATGCAATAAAATGTAACTGACTTACTTAAAAATCATACAATGTGATTTTCTGTTTTTTTTCCCTCTTAGATTCTGTCTCTTACAGTTGAAGTGTACCTAAGATAAAAATTACAGACCTCTCCATTCTTTGTAGGTGGGAAATCTTGCAAAATTGGCAGTGTATCAAATACTTATTTTCCCCACTGTTCACCCCCCCCTCCCCCCACCACACACACACATATTTGGGGCAGCTGTGGCTGAGTGGTTAGAGCAGCCATCCTCCAATGGGAGAGTTGGGAGTTTGATTCCACCAGCAGTCACATGTTGAAGTGTCCCTGAGCAAGACACTAAACCCCTCACTGTCTCTGACGTGTGTCCCATTGGTGTGATCTAAAAGCACCGATTAGTCTCTACAAAATGATTTGCTCAGTTAGTTTTGCATAGATAGAGTGCTGTGTGAATGTGTGTGTGGAGGTAAATGTGGACACAAATAGTGTTGTAAAGTGCTTAGAGTATCTTGATTAGATAGAAAGGCGCTGTATCAGTACAATCCATTTATAAATGTAAAAGTAAAAAAACAGATGAAAACTGAAGCAAAACTAGATTTGAAATCATATTTAGCGTTTGTATAGTTGTGAACATTACCTGCTATGGCTGGAGAGGGACACTCACTTAGTTTAGCATTTAGAAGTTTTCTGCTGATAAACACAAAACCACAGGGACACGACTTACAGGCCACTGGAATCTGGACAGGAAGAGACAAGAGACAGGAAGTGTTCATCATTAGGTCTGGATTCAAGGGATGCAAGACAACATGGTTCACATATCAGACTGAAGAATAGATATTAAAAAAACAACATTTAGCCTCCGAGGCCAACAGTTAGCAGGTTCAATTAACCATGGTTATGATCACGTTATGTGCACCGCAGTATGGCAGCACTGACGAGAGCTCCGCTTCAACTCACTCCGGTTTTTATTTTTTATTTCTGTTGTTTTTTTTTTACTTTTTGCACCTGCACTGCACACCCATGCTACCGGTATGACTATGATGCACTTTTTGAGTTTTGTTTGTTGCTGCCTTGCTTTGCCATTCTCAAGTTCAAGTCAACTTTAGTGTCATTTCCATCGCATGTGGTACATGAGGTGGGACAAAATTATGTACACAGGGTCCCAGTTCAACCAAAAACAGCAAAATATAAAGTATAAAAAAAGAAACAGTAAATAAGGATCTAAGATATATGCAAAGTATACGCTAAACAAATGCCAAACGGTACGCTAAAAGATCTAAGATATACACTAAACACTAATAATGTAAAGCAACAGGGTGTAACAACAGCAGCCCAAACATGAGTCTTTGGTGAGCAGATAGGTATGAATGAATACAGCAGCATGAGATAATCACCAGCATGGATAATCAGCAGTACAGATACTTGTTCAGTACAAATACTTGTTCAGTACAGATACTTGTTCACTTAGCCAGTGACGCTAACTGTTAGCAGGTTAGCATCATTGGCTAATTGAACCTGCTGCAAACAGTTAGTTTTATAGTTTGGTTTAGTTTATAGTTTACTGTTTGTTCATCAAGCAGGTTAACACAAGGTCAACAATGCAATGAAATGCTCAGGACGAGAAAAACTGTCTCGACAGGGTGAGATGGAGGAGGATGATTCGCTGTGTTGACTCCTGAAGAGGGAAAAGCCAAAAGAAGAAGAAGCTAACTGTTAGCAAGTTCAATTAGCCACTATAGCTAGCACGTCAAAGCTGCTGGAGTTATCATGGCTAAGACAAATTATAATAGAGCTAGTTTAAAATATATATTTTATTTATTTACTGTTTTTATTAAGAACAACAATTTACCAACAAATCATGGTAAACAATGCTAATACAATAGAGCTAATAAAGAAGCTAACTTCAGCTAGTCTTTAGCCACAGATCTGTCTCCCATCTGTCCCCCCTGTCCTTCCTGTCCAAAGTGAGGGTATTCCTGTCCTCTGTAGCAGAATTGTCCCTGAGATGTTGGAGACAAACTTCAGTCCATTTCTTCAGTTTCAGCACTTTGAATCATACATAAAACCCGGAGAAGTAAACGGTGACCCTGTGGAAACTGTTCTGGGTTTTGGACCAGAATCAGTTTTTGTCCTGAAGGACTTTCTGTTGAACAGAAACTGAAGGTTGGTGACGAAATGATGGATTTTTATCATCTTTTGGCAACAAATTAATCTTACTTTGACTTTTTGATTATTAGATAAAAGCTAAGTATTTCAAACTAACCGTTTGGTTTCACTTTAAAAACTGTTTATTTTTAAACATAAATCTACTTTTACAACACGAGCTTCACAGTAAATCCATTAAAATTCTAATTTACATGAAAACTTTTAGTTTTCTATTGACTTCCATGATTTCAGTTCTTCTCTTCAGAAACATTTTTAACTCGCATTAAACCAAATAAACTTTGTTAGAGAATATTAAGGACATCACAAATCTTTAGTCTGCAGATTTAAATGAATTTAAGACGAAAAGTTCAGACTGAGGGACAAAAACAGAATCGAACCGAGCCTGAAGCCACTTCCATCCGAACTACCGGCTCCATATCACTTTAAATAAATGATTCCATGATTTCATTAACTTACCTGTTGGTCGCACTCAGGACAGGATTTCGTAGCCATTTTGACCTTCTTTGTTTTATTTGTCGACATTATTCCGTTTCCTCCGGAGATTAACGAAGATTAACGAATTAATTTAATCTCTCTGAGGTATAGAAAATTTGCCTAATGTTTCCCAAACAAAACTTTGTCCATTTAGGACATAAAAACACTTTGATGTGACCTTAAATTAAATAAATACGAATATCTTCACAAGGACTGCCAACGTAAAATATTTGCGCATGCGCACTTTGTGTTGCATTCAAGTTCCTTCAGGCAAATATTAGACTGTGAGTTTTTTTTCACTTTTTTTTACGAAGAGTGTATATAAAAATGTATTTTTTAATTTAGCTGATTGAGCGATATCTTTATGGTTTTATGTATTTATATTTTTTCCAATGTTTTTCTGGTTTAATAGAATTTAAACACGTTTGCACACAGATATCCGATATTAACGCGAGACCAGTCAATGCCTCGTGCTCTATACTGTATGTTTATTTAAAGTGAACATTCTTCAGACACTCGGTTCTATTGAGGCGTGGACAAACTTCTTTAATTTAGTTAAACTTGATGTGTGCAGTTTAAACTTTTGAATGAAGTGAGACATTTTATTTTTAAGGTAAATCCTTCATTTGCATTTTAAAATGAAATATGTTTTTCTGATTTTTAGTATAATTGTTGTTCAGCCTTTGTTTCTATTCAGTAGTTATTAGGACTCCCAGATATGTAGCCTGATCAGTAATGAGAATGTAGCTCCGGTCAGTCGTGGTGAACAGAGTTGAGTCTGAAGACAAAGCTTTACTGATCTGTCTACATTCCAAACCTCACCTGTGGTCTGGATCAGGACTAAAAGAACCAGATTCTGGATCCAGCAGCTGAAATGGTCTTCCTCTGTAGAACGGGGTGGGCTCAGCCTTAGAGACCGGGGTGAGGAGCTCCGTCATTCGGTGGGAGCTCAGAGTGGAGATGCTGCTCCTCTGAATGTAAAGGAGTCAGCCGCAGCGGTTCATCTGCTCAGGACGCCTCCCTTTGGAGGATTATCAGACACGTCCCACTGAGAGGAGACTCCAGGTTAGAATCAGAACTCTGGAGGGATTATAGACCCTGGGAACACCTCGAGGTTGTGTAGGAGCTGGAAAGGGAAGTCTGGGTTTGTTTCCTGGACTCGACCATAGATCAGAGGTAAAGACGGAGAGTTCTGAAACAGCTCAGGATAAAGTTCTGTTCGGCTGATGATGCTGTGTAATTTTTATCCAAAAATCCAACCAGACGTAAAAACCTGGAGGACGTTTAATTTGAAACCTTTAAAGTCAGCCAAATGGAGGTTGTTTTTATTATAAAGAAATAAATCCCAGGACAGAGATAACAAAAACAAAAGGCTAATTTTTATTATTCCTTTTCGTTTTATTCATGAACATGACAATCAGGTGGATTTTAGACTTTAAACACATTTAATGCAAAAAGAAAAAGTTAATACAAATATATATACCTTTGTGAGGTCCTCGTTGACCAGCAGGGTGCGGTGAATCAGTTTTATCTTAGATTTAGTGAGTGACCACTGAGCCTTTAGTCTTCAACGTTTCAGAACATTTAACAGATTAAAAGGCCAACAGAAGATGGAGCAGACTAAAGTTTGTTCAAAATAAGACTGAGCGGAATTACTGAGCAGCTCTGGAGTCGGTTTGATTTGAATCTTTAGCATCATTTCCTACAACAGCTCCTGATTTAACATGAAAAGGACAAAATAACATGGTTGGATATTTTTATGTGACAATTAGACTGAAAATAAAATCAGCGAGATTCTGTAACTTATTTACATTTAGCTAAATAAATGTTTCATGTGATAGAAAGATAACGAGCAGAAAGATGCAGATGACAGAAATCAGAACGAATGGTTCTTCAGTTTGCTGCAGCTGGACTCACATGCAGTTTTCTGTCCAATCCGATGCGTCAAAACAGAAACAACCAATCAGAAGACACGAGTCATGAGACAAAGCAGGGAAATGAGCCAGGATGGACGACGGGGTTAGTTTAGTTTCTGTCCCACAGGAAGAATCGCAGTGATGTTAGCTGTGCATCATGATACAGGAAGTGGACTCTGTTCAAAGAATAAGAACCTCGTAGGCTGGTCCCTCAGACTCTAGGGACCCTGATCAGAGGACCAGACCCTCGTAGGCAGGCCCCTCGGACTCTGAGGACTCTCTCTGCAGACGGAGGTGCTCCAGGGTGTTGTGGAAATGTTTGTTGATCTGCTCGGTTTCTTCACTTGCCTCCAGGTTTGGAAGGTCCTCTCTGATCTTCTGAATGAGTTGGTTCAACACCTGGACTGTCACCTGAGGGAGGAGTGGGAGGAGCATCGTCAGGGCCCTCATAACTACCAACAGTATTAGATCACAATAAAGATTATAACTCTGAAACTTCTCTGAGATGTTGAAGGTCAAAGAGGCCCGTTCTCACAAGAAACAAGAAGAACGAAACAGAACTTTAGAAAATGAACCAGGATCTGAACCGATGCTGGACAGGACTGGAACCACAGAAGTCCTGTGTTTTAGATTTGCAGCACTCATCAGGAGTCAATCTGTTTACTTTTTTTTTTTCATTTGGACCTTGTAAATATTACAATTACTTTTTCCACTTTTTGGTACTTTATTTTGTACCCTTATTGCACGCTTAATATTTCTTGTTTGTTCTCTTGTTTTTAGCGAGTCAAATCGGTTCTTCTCATCCTGAACATTTCATTGTACTGTTGACCTTGCGTTAACCTGCATATGACAAACAACTTGAACTTGAGTCAGAAGACAAACCTGACTGATCCAACTGGTCCAAGAAAAACATGATCAAATGGTTTTTAGAAAACAACAGATCAACAGACCCCAGGACCAGTTTCCTCTGGCTCGGGTCGAAGCAGGAATCTTTTCCTGTGAATAAAATAAATTAAATCTGAATAAATGTTATTCTAAAGTCTTACAGCGTCGTTCTCCCTCTCGTAGAAGCAGATGTATCTGTTCAGGATCTCGATGAACAGCTGAACCTGCAGAGACGAGTCCATGCACTGGTTGGCGATCTTCAGGGCTTTTTTCAGACACTCCATGACCCGCTTCCCGTCCCGGATCTGAAGAGCAGCCAAAACACCACCATCAGGATTACAGAGGTTTAAAACTTTGGATCAGGTGTGCGTTTAGATAGATACCGTAATTTTTGCTGTATACGTCGCTGTTTTTTTGCATAAATTTAGCGTGCCTGCGACTTTCAGTATACAACGAAGTGACATATTTATGTTTTTTTCCTCGATATTTATAATCCAATTTTTGGCCGAGATCTGACAATTTCATTCATTCTGACATGGAAAATATGGAACATTACCATTTTCAGCCACTAGAGGGCCCTTGACTTTTATAGCAAGCCAAGTGTCTCATTAATAGGTAAAAATGGCTATTAGTGAGACACTTGGCTCGTCATACCAAGCCACCTTCGTCTCGCTCCGGAACTCCTGGAGCAAACATCAAATCAGCTGCATTTCGCCGCGCCACCCAGGCGAAATGCAGCCGATTTACCATACTAATTTATTTATAAAGCACTTTAAACAGTGACAAAGCACACCAAAGTGCTGTACAGGGACAAACAGAACAAGCACACAGCAACAGATTACATAACAGGACACCAAAAAGTAGAAACCAACAAAAACAATAATGGATAACAACAACAATTTGACCATTAAAGTGCATTTATTAAGGAAAAGTTAAACTGAGACACACCTTTACTATAACGTCGAGCAAACAAATAGTTGTTTTTAAGTATTAATCTTCTTAAATTCTTGTTAAAAGTCCTCCTGTGTATGCTCCCATGGCCGCCATTAGGCAGCCAACTGATTTTTGGTGCAACACCGGCCCATGTTTCCGGGTGGTCAGCGGTGATGCATAATAGATGCGACTTATAAGGCGAAGTGACGTATTTATGTTGTTTCCACTTTATTAGACATATTTGGACTGATGCAACTTACATGGTGGCAACTACAGTAAGTGTTGCCATCAATGGGTGATCATGTACTCCTCCAGTGTTTGTTTTAAAGGGGCGGGTGAGCTTTTCTGTTCAGGTCACATGGAGGAGTAAGAGGTGGAACCACAAAGGTCCAGCAGAACTGGATCCACTATTTAAAAAGGTGGATATTAAAGTTGTTATCATTAGAGAAGCAGGAGGGAAGCCCTGCAGTGCTGATCCAGTTCAGCTTTTTGTGGGTCACTGCTGGTTCCTCCTAATCCAACTGGTTGAACCCATTATAGATGCCGACTACACAAGTCAATACACCCGTGTGTTCAGACTTGAAGTTTAAACTGTCAGGTTTTGTTTACGATGAACGAGTTTCACTCTGAAACTAAGGAGTGAAACACTTCCTGAGTGTTCAGCAAGTCTGTTGATGGAATGTAGGTCAGAGTTAGTCTGGCCAATCACAGACCTCTATCTGATCCAATGTTCCTCTCTAAAACATTCTTAAGAAAATAGTTTCAGGTTCGTTGTGTGAACATCTGTACAGAAATATTCTGAGGAGTTTCAGTCAGGGTTTAGAGCTCACCATAGCACAGAAACAGCACTAGTAAGTCACTAATGATATTCTCATGACCTCTGACAATGGACAGGTGTCTACACTGGTCCTGTTAGACCTCAGTGCTGCATTTGATACAGTTGATCATAATATTCTACTACAGAGACTTGAAGATGATATTGGAATTACATGAACGGCTCTAAAATTGTTTAAATCGTTCATTTTTGAAGCAGATAGCCGCTCGCCCTAAGCCTGGTTCTGCTGGAGGTTTCTTCATGTTTAAAAGGGAGTTTTTCCTTTCCACTGCTCCCTTTGTGCTTGCTTGGAATGAGAGACTGTGACGAAGTGACGATCAAACGCAATCTGCTGCTTCCTTCGATAACTTTTACTAATTGGCTTTTATAATGTGTGTGAATGTTTTACTTCTGTGGGACTTGGAGCTATAGAAATAAACTGAACTGAGTTGGTGCTGAAGCTGAAACCCACCTCTTCTCCGTTCTTGTCAGTGCTGCGACCAGACCAGAACAAGTGAGCGCACGTGCTGACGGCTCTGCACTGGTCAGGTTTCTTCAACAGCTTGGACGCAGCCAGAGCGCACTGCGTCCTTAAAGGCTCGTGGTTCTCCTCGCTGAAACATTTCATTCGTTCAAAGGTGCCGATGATCAGCGTGATGGCTGCCAGCTGGGCTTTGGAGTCGCTGATCTCATCCTCGTACAGAGAGAAGGCCTGCAGGGATGGACCAGTGGGGAGATTAAACCACTGGTGGAGACACTGTGGCATTGCAACATTCTTATCCACGGCTCTACCTGAGACATGAACTCGTACGCGACAGTTTCGTGATTCTCGAAGCCGATTTCGCCGGCAGCCAGTGCCCCTTGCAGGAAGAGGCGCAGCGGCAGCTCTGAAAGCTCTGCCTTGATGAGAGCGCTGATGGTGTGGTGAGCAAATGAAAAGATCTTCTGGCACTTCTTCTCCCATTTATCGTCCTGCAGGAGGAGACATACGAGCTTCTTAATGACACGCAGGAACACAAGCAGGGAAAAACAAAACAAAAACAAAAAAAACAGGTTATTGTTTTTTTTTACCACCGAGGAGTTTTCTTTGTATCTGAAGGCCAGCTGGTAGGCAGCAAACACCAGGGGCGGTAGAGTAAAGCGGATCCTCTGGTTTCCACCAGCTCCAAAATGTTTCCGGGCAGTGTTCAGAATCTGAAGCAAAAGAAAGAAAGAAATAAGAACCCGATCGAAAAGTGTTTTATTTTTTTTTAACTGAACAGAAACAAACTAGGAGGAACCTACCAGATACTGCTGATCAGGATCTTCAGAGTGGAACAGGTGGATAAAACGACCCACAAGGCTCTGCTCCTCAGCAAAGTCCTCCGGGTCAGGGTCATCAGCTGGTTGGTCCGGCTGGTCCTGGACCAGCGTGGACACCAAGCTCAGGATAGCATCCACCTGAAAAAGAATATACATTTGATTAATTATTGTCCATCATGTGGTCCCATGTCTCCAACATGTCTCACCTGCTCCTGGGACACCATGATGGTGTTACAGTCCAGCGTGTTGCTCAGGACGTAGCAGCTCATGCTCTTGCGGGACTCAAAGTCGAAGTACTCAAAGAGTGGAGGGAAGTGTTTGAGCTGCAGGACCATCAGCAGATTGTTGTAGGTGTCCACAGGGATCTTCAGGAGCCGGGTCAGTTCTTTAGACACGGCGCTGCTGGTTGCTATGCTGTGAGGAGACAGAGACGGTGAAAACTCAAAGCTTTACAGTCAACGAAGGGCTTTTACTGCAGCGGGATGTTAAACTTTTAGAATGCTCTCATTCAGTTTTTGGCTTACTGCTCCAGATTGAGTTTATTAAATATCTCCACTGTGCTCTCCAGGACTTTGTCCACGTAGTCCACCCGCTCAGGGTAACACTTCATGGCCAAATTAATGAGAGACACCTGAAGAGAAACCACGTCCTCTGATGGCATGTCCTGACGGGACTGAAGAACCAGATAGGACAACGTTAGAAGACATTTTACAGAAAACACAGACTCAAGCGAGACAAACTGATTTATTTACCTGAATGACTGTGGCCACCTGTTGGGAGAAGATGTCAAACAGTTTGATCTCAGCTGGAATACCTGGTCCATCTTCTCGATGAGCAAACAGAGCCAGTCTGAAAGATGTATGTTAGATTACAAATTTAATTTAAGACCAGACAAAATCATGCACACTCAGTAAAGACCATTTCTGAAGCTGAGCAAACAGAAATCCACGTTCTCCATCCGTACAATATGGTACCGGTCCAGGCTACCTTGAGCTTATGAGTTAAAGTAAAAACCACTAACGTGTTTAAAAGTCTAAAACCTTCTTTTAGACTTCCTATTCCTGTTTTTCTCCTCTCTGGTCAACAGAGTATGCTGTACCTGTCAATCAGAGCGATGATGATGTTCTTCACGTTGACGTGTTGATGAAGCTCCGCACAGGAACGCAGGAAAGGATTCAGGGTTTGGAGGTGGAACTCATCAGGGAAAACCTTCAAACAGACCACAGTTTTATTTATACTTCACTAAATCTGTTAAATAAATTAAACATAGACAAACAAGTGTGGACTTAGTTGATTAGGAAGCGATCAGTTTCCTTTTCCTTGTTTTGGTGTTCAGTTGAGTTCAAAGTCAGACAACGTTCGAGACAATGAGAGTTCGTGGCCCCCGCCACCACGAAGGTCAGCGTCGGCTTGTACGTTTGCTTCAACGTGAGAAATAACTACGTCCAAGTCCAGAACAGGAAAAAGGCACAATTTTTTTTTCAAGAAAAGCCCTGCAGACCAATGAACATAAAATATTTCTATGGACATAAATAAAAGCTCTTCATTTTTGTGTGGCTTGGTACCAAATGAACCGTGGACCGGTGGTTGTGGACCCATGTTGTAAAATTAGTCACGAGTTGGTTAATAAGAACCTTTTCCTAGAGCCATGTTTAATGTTCCGCTGCCGGTGAGAAGGCAGCATCACAAAGGATGAGAAGAGTCGGTGGATGATGATCTAGTCCTCTCTGGGATGTTAGAAAGTCAAATAAAGTGATCCTTCACCTATCGAGGGGGTTACGTTCCAGAGACCCCACAATAAGTGAAAATTCGCTAAGTAACGGCGTTATATTTATTGTATTAGTTATATATATTTAAGGTTTTATAAACCCTTCCCACACTCCTACAAACCTTTCTCACTCAGGTTTAGCCGTCGCTCACAGCGCAACACTGAAAACTTTAAGCCCCCAGTATACCCCCGCGTACGTCTGTACGCTGAAGTACGCGCGTCCGTATGCGGAGGTACGAGCGTACCCCTGCAGGGCATGTATGCGCAAAATTCAAGTTTTACGACCGCGTATGCGGTGTCGCACAATAAACTGCCCGGCAACGGACTGTTTTGAATGCGACACCAATGTATTAAATTCCCCTTCTTCATCTCTGATCTGGCCTTTTTTGGGTTTTTTTTGCCAAAAGGCAGTGATCTCTTCCTCCTCCGTTGATGCCATGACTGAAATGGTGAGAAATGAAGGAATTTGTCATGAGCAAATTAAACTCCGGTCCAGCGTGGCTGAGGGAGGGTCTGGAGATTTCCTGGTGGGCTGGTCTGATGTGTGGGCTGCTGGACCAGTGCTCCCTGTTTTTTTTTTTTTTTTTTTTTTAGATATTTTTACTAACAACATATAAAACACAGAACACCGCTGCGGCTGAGGCTGCCAGCACTCGTTTTTTCCCCCCAACCTGTCAATCAATCCAGTAGGCGCGTCAGCAAATGACCAATCGGCAACCTCAATTTGTCCCGAAGGTAAACGCTCTGCGGAGCTGCTCTGCAGCTGCTCAGGGTGGACGCTCGAGTATGAAGTCTGAAGGTGGCTTCCTCCTCCACTTGCACAAGTGGTGGTAGCGTACAGTATGTCCCGCAAAATCCCAAGATAGAGAGAAAACTCCTCGATACAGAATTAGAAAAAACCTGCGATACAGTGAAGCTGCAATAAGTGATACTGTGAGGGATGACTGTACCTGAATGATGCACTCCATGAGATACTCCTGAGCCAGAGAGTCTCTGCAGTTCACTACCTGCTCCAGGACTCCAGGAAGAACCACCTGAAGGGTGAAGAAATGTTCTGCAGGTGAGAACCCTCAGTCCTCCAGAACCTGATGACTACACGGATGTTCATGATGTCATAGCATTTTAAATGAAGCTACAATAAAAGAATTACATCAGAACTTTGTTCCATTAGATCAAGAAAAACCTCCATTATTTTGGCCAACTTCACAAAACAAAATATTTGACTCAAATTTAACTTGTAAACTAATAAAGATCATTTGTTGTTTAATTTTAATTCTAAAAATACAAGATGGGATCACACCTCTGATTAATACAAAGGACAATAAAAATTATTTGTAGTTTTTCGACTGGCTGTATGGTCCAAACCACAGGACAGCTGGCTCTGACAGCAGCCAGGAACAGAAACACACCTGTTTGTACTTGTCCACATTGACCCCTTCCAGCTGGCTCAGGCGGACCAGATTGGTTCCCACCAGAATCCGAAGTTCCTGACGTTCCTTCTCCCGCTTCTCTCGGTCTCTGCTGTGTCCCTGATGCTGCATTCGAACCCATAATTTATTCATTTCAGCAAAATTCAAAAGGATGAAGTCGATGGAGTCATTGATGTCCCCGGTCATCTCCTCGGAGCCCCTGAGAAAGAAAAATGAAACTCAGAAAACAGCAGAGGGACGTCCACATGTAGGTAAATATCAGAACGATGCATCAAAAGGAAAGTTTTCGACTAAATAAATCCAGAACTTACTCCGACTGTTCTCCGTCATCTGGCAGGATGTTACGGGTGCACTGAAGCAGGTAGTTCCTGAGGAACAGACCTCGGAGCGGGTGCTGGACCCCACGACACATCTCCACCAGATCCTTCAGGATGTCCTTACGAGACTGAGGGAAGGAGCGAACGTATACCACGCCCACAGTGATCAGCAGGTAGCTGCAGGCACACAGACAGAATCCAGCCATGTTGGATCAATGAAGCCACAGTCCTTTACTTTAAATGAAGCTAGTCCGATTTAACGGGTTTATTGGGTTATTTTAAGTGTCTTTCAGGTAAAACATTCGTTTAACAATGATACTGTCCTGTTGAAACGATGTTTGTTAAATTCAGGCTGTTTAGTGATGTAAATAATTAGAGGATAATTCTGCTGAGACAACAAAACGCACCATCCTGCGCCCAAAGTAAGATAGAGTAAAGCTGGACCTTTAAACAGAATATTTACAGGAGACAAACACAGATCTCCCTCTCCAGCTCCTCCTGGGGGACCCCCCGAGGTGTTCCCAGACCAAAGAGGGTCTATAATCCCACCAGAGTTCTGGGTCTGACCCAGAGTGTCCCCTCAGTGGGATGCGATCAGAAAATCCATAAAGGGAGGTGTCCTGATCAGACGAACCTCCTCAGGGGACTCCTTTATATTCAGAGGAGCAGCAACTCTACTCTAAAAACCCCTACCCCCCCCAGATGACAGAGCACCTGCTCCTCTCTTAAGTCCGAGCCCCCCACCCTACGTAGGAAGTTCCATTTCAGCTCCTTGGATCCAGGATCTGGCTCTGCTGGTCCTGATACAAACCTCATGATCACAGGTGAGGGTTGGAACGTAGACAGATCAGCAAACCCAGAGCTTTGCCTTTAGACTCAACTCTTTCTTCACCACAACTGACCAGAGCTACGCCCTCATTACCGAGGACCAGCTCCGATCCATGGATCCATCTCCTGCTCCATCCTAGTTCAGGTTCAGGTCAAAGTGACGAAGTCGTTGGAAAATAACGCTGATGCCTCAAACCTCCTTCCGGCAGGTCAAAGGTCAACCATCAGCCGGTTGAAGGTTAAAATGTTGTAACAACGAGCCGTGGACTCCCTGAAGCTGCCCAGGCAGACTTTCAGACATATTTACAGTTTTATTTGTTCTTTTCTTTACTGAACTTCAACCCAAAGAAGAGCAGCTTCATATTTACTCATCTTCCTGTTGAAGATACTCACAGTCGGGGAATGATGTTCCCAGCATATTGGACCAGCTCATAAAGATCCGCCACCTTCCTTCCTTTAGCGAACTCATCAGTCAGGTAAACCTCCAGGTAATGAAGCTCATCAGAGATGGCCATATCTGAAACCAGCGTTAGGGACCAGAATGCTGTGGCTCCCAGCAGGAAAACACACTGTTACAGTTCAAAACTCAACCTTCAGCTAACAAATGGAGTCTGTTCAAATACACAGCTGCTGCAGGAAGTATCCAGCTGTGTTGTGCTGCAGCCAATTAAATTCACCTCTGCTCATTATTTTACACTCAGAACCTCATGAGGACAGAACAGAACACTGTAAAGGTCACAAACTGCACCAGAGGATTAAGCAGCTCCACTGAAAACAACTACGACAGAAAGCCTGCAGGGTTAGAGGATACAGAGCTCGTAGTAGCTCTTTGGAGAAAGCATTGAGGTCCTCAGCTCTCCCAGCATGTTGGAGGCATGTTTTAAAGCATCCATCAGCTTGTTCTTGTCCTGCACACAAAAACAGAAACATGATGTTTCACTGGATTAAAGCATTGCTACACTCAGGAGGTAAACAGTAAACTGTCAGGTGGTTAGGAAACGTTACCGTTAGCATGTTGCTAACAGGCGTCATCAAAAACAAGTCACTTCCTCTTCATAATGTACTTTTATCAACTTGTCTGTAGTCAAAGTATTATTTCACTCAAAGGACAAAAAAACAAACACCCCATCAGTAAATATTTAAAGGATTAAAACATTAAAAACATTTATTTAATATCAACTAACGTTTTAATGAACAAAAATATGATTGTGACTTTAAATTGAAAAAAAACTTTACATTTAATACATATTTAAAGGAATGAATGAATGCTTCGGTACTGATAATCTTTCATTAGTTTTACAGTTAATCAGATTTTTCTGATTTACTTCTCACCTAAAACTACAAACATGTTGAAAAGTTACAGACAGGGGCCAAAGGGAGGTTCGGGAGGATTCCTGAACGGTCGGTCAGTTCCAGGCCGAACCGGCCAGTGGTGATCGGTATATTGTTTGTGTTTTTAAATGCTGCTGCATCCCGTGCAGCAGCCCTCGCGGCCGCAGCTGGCAAACGTCACATGCGAGCAGCCCCTCCCAATTTGAAATAGAAAAAAGAGCGGATAGCAAACATGCTAAAAAGAAAGGAGAAAGATGGGTGGAGCAAGGAAAGGAAAAAAAAAAAAAGAAAAAGGAGAAAGTTAGTGCAAGATGCAGCCAAATGCACTAAAATACCAGACTTTTTTTTGGGGGGGGGTGGGTGGGTGGGGGTCACGTGACTAAAGTCAGCCAGGACGGTGATAACAGGACGGAGCATCATGGATACATCAGGTAAACAAGCAGTGCATCATGGACATCATCCATCCCAGAGTTGGCGTATCGTGTGTTTGTGTTTCTGGATGTATTCAGGGCACACTGAACATAAAGGAAGCCCATCAGTATTGTTACACCACAAGTCCATAAATCTTTAATCTACTTTATCAACCAACATTAAAATCAATCCCCACTGACTGACCAGAAAAAGGCATGTTTCTGGACTGCATAAGAAAACATTTCAGGAAGGAGTCCGTTTACCTGTTCTGTTTCTACATTAATATTTACCTATTTTCATCAGCTCAAGAAAAATACATTGCAGTAATTCTACTGTGTATACATGTCTATGCCTGTAGCACTTTTCTTATGTTGTATTTTTGTTATAAATCTGTGAATTCTTGCAAAAGTGCTCTAAAACGCATCATTTTTCCAGTTATTACTAGTTGAAAAGGCCAGTGTCAGTCGAGGAGTTGATGCAGTGGGACAGGATAATACCAGCCAAGGAGTGAGAAGGAGGAAGGGACAGATGAGGACGGAGAGGAGAAGGAGGTGGAAGGAGAGAAAGAGACCCTGATGCCTTTAGACAATGATGCAGTTATAGACAGAGTTGCAGAGACCTGGGAAGAGGTTATGATGTTAGAGGTTTTTATACCTTTGGAGGTTGTTACTTTGTTCCTTAATGTTTGCTTTAATTTTTATGATAAGCTGCTTGTTTAATAAACTGATTTGTATTTTTTTTATTTGTATCACTGAATACATACAAACACACACAGTAGTTCTGATTGTTGAACAAAGTGTTTTTATGGTGCAAATAAAGTATTCGTGTTCAAGTTATGGTTCCACGTGCACCCGTTGTTCGATCAGATAAAAGTCCTCTCCAAAGCGAGCTCCCATGCTGAATTTCAACCCCAGCCCGCCCCTGGTCACAGACAGTTTGTAAACAATGTGAAACAAGTCAACCGCTCCCGCAGAACATACCCTTCCTTCTACACTGCATTAAACAGAACCGGGTCAATGTAGAAACAGCGACAAGTGGAAGAAATCAATAATTTGTCGAAATCATCCACCTTCAGATGTTGACTTCAAGCAGAGATCTCAAGTGAAACCAAAAAATATCAAGCTGTGCTTTTATTTTGTTGCTTCTCTTCAAACTTTAAAACTAAGACTAACCAGAGACTACAGTTATTAAAAAGGAGACAAAAAAATCATTAAACAAGAATAAGTCTGTCTCTGTGATGGACTGGAGACCTGTCCAGAGTGTCCCCCACCTCTCACACAGTGACTGCTGGTTATGGGCACCAGTGACCCCTGTGACCCAGAAAGGAAGAAGCGGGTAAAGATAATAGATGGATGGAAGAATGAAGTCCTCCTACCAGACATCTCTTCATCTGGAAGGACTGAACTTTAACAGCTTGAACGGCTTCATCCAGAAGCTTCTCCTGCTCGTCCTGAGGAGACTGCTGGGTGGTCGGCTGCAGACAAAAAATATTGAAACATAAAACCATTTATTAAACGACGTGGCTGAACATTAACGCTTTATTAAAAACTGTATTTTGGTGATCATTTTGTTAGTAGTTCTGTTTTGAACATGAGACCAAGTGAACCGAGCTGTCACATCATCAAGAACACTCACTGCAGAACCGGACCAAAACCTGGACCAAGTCCTACAGAAAACGTGGACTGAGTTTTTGTGCACTGGTAATCCTTTCAGCTGTAACCACCAGGTTCGGCTTTACCGAATCAAGCGGGACTTCATCTTGGTTCTTGACAGACTACCTTAATCACGTGAACGTTTGTTTCCGTTTCATTGATTGAAAAACCACGCCCACATATTTGTATAGATATCTTTGAAAATGTGTGAAATTGCTTTAATTTGAAATGTCGCGGAAATAAATTGTCTGTAAACCATCAGTTTGAACATATTTATCTGCTACATCATGTCGTTCGGCTAAGCTAACAGATGCTAATAGTTACCTCAAGGTGTGCACTTGAAGACGTCTTTGTCGCCAAAATATCTAAATATAATCATAATATAAGAACACATGGTGTTATACGTTACCGTCAAATCAAAATAAGCATTGATGTACTTAGAGTTTCAGATGGCGGAAGCCCGTTAGCCTAGCCTGTTAGCCTATCTAGCTGCTGTTGAACACCAGGCCTGTTTGCCGCACGGGCAGCGGAGGAGCTACATCCGGTCCCTGAAACATCCACCGTTTTTTTGTTTCGGTCAGCGAAAGATAATAAAACTAAGTGCATTAAAATAAAACCCAAAGGTTCAGATTTTATGGTTATTTAGGAAACTCACCATGATTACCGGACGTTATCAGAAAGACTCGAGACGCTGCCCTGTCACGTGATCCACGACTAGTGTCACGTGAACGGCTGTGACAGCGTCTCCTGTTTATAGGTCTGCTGCTCATACTCGTCTCCACCGGCTATCTCTGCTAGTTTTTATTTACATCATGTGTAAGTGATACAGTAAACAAACACAGGTTAACAATAAAAGTGAGAAAATAAAAATATCTATTTATAACACAAAGGCTTACTTTGGACACCTGACAGCTGTCAGATATAAACATCTGTCAGGTGTAAGACAGATGTTTGCACCTGACAGATGTTTACACGACAGATGTATACATCTTACAGACATTGACACTTAATAGATGTTTACACCTGACAGATGTTTACACCACAGATGTATACATCTTACAGACATTGACACCTGACAGATGTTTACACCTGACAGATGTTTACACGACAGATGTATACATCTTACAGACGTTGACACCTGACAGATGTTTACACCTGACAGATATTTACACTTGAGAGATGCTTTCACTTAACAGATGTTGACACTAGACAGATGTTTACACCTGACAGATATTTACACTTGAGAGATGCTTTCACTTAACAGATGTTGACACCACCTGACAGATGTTGACACCTGACTGATGTTGTTAGTTTTCATCAGATCAGGTGGAGGACTGTCCGTGAAGCTGGAGCAGAAGGGTTGTGGTTGTTTTGGTTTGCGGTGAGTCCCAGGATTAGATGAGGGCAGAGGAACAGCGCCGCTCCATTCCCTCGACCCAACAGGCCTTATCTCCATTGATCTGACACCCTATTTATCTGAGAGTGGACCTGAATCTGCTGGCCTTGCAAAAATAGAAACAAAGGATCTGAACCATCAGCACTTTATTTGTGGTGGTCCAAATGGTCAAAGGGACATGCGTCTCTCTGGCCTCATTCGTCCCAGTGTGTCATTGTTTCCATGTTTGGTCCTGGATCCTGACAGCAGACCCACAGACCCTTTGTTTGGATCTTAAAGCTGGGTTTCTGTAGCTGCACTTTATGTTTCAGTGGATTTTTGATGTTATTAGTTTGTATTGTGATTAGGGCGGGGATGTCTTTGACGTGGACACTCTTGCAAAAGACGTTTTAGGTTGCAAGTTTGGAAATCAAGTTATTTTTTATTTATTAAATTTTGTCACAACTGCCACATCATTCAACCCTGAGTCTCTACGGACTTCTGTCTGGCTTCTAACCTGGAGTTTAACGTTTCTAACAGATTCATCTCTGGATCACTGTAGATTTACTGGCTTTACAAAAACAACAACGACAGAACGGTTCTGCTGGTATGGCTTCGTTTAAACTGGACTTCCTTCCAGAGATGATGGTGGACCACTGCTCTTTGAATTCTAGTCCGGGGTAAGTATTTCTGAAAAGAACTTTCATGTTTTTGTATTTGTCTTTCTTTGTTTTTTTGAACAATTTGTTTTGTTCTATTCATGTCATATATTATTTTACTGTATTTTATATTATATAGATTTTTTTTAAATCATCAAAAATGATATAATTTTGACTTTTACCTAGTCAAGTTAAAGTACCTCAGTGCCACCAAACTTACCTGTGCTCCTTAATGTTGTAGTGGGAAGAAAATCAATGGATCTCTGGATCATCCTGACCAACCAGATATTGATGCCATCAAAATGTTTGTGGGACAGATTCCACGGTCCTGGTCTGAGGAGCAGCTTCGGGAGCTATTTGAACCCTATGGAGCAATTTATGAGATCAACATCCTTAGAGACCGGAGCCAGAATCCACCTCAGAGCAAAGGCCAGTGCGTGGTAACACATACTTCAGACACATTATGGGGCAGTTCATCCAGAGGGACAGGCCCTGGGGGTCATTAGTTGAAAAGTACCCCTGTATTTTCTGGGCAAACCAGTCTATGTACTATGTAACTATGTACTATGTAACTGCACACATATGATGGAAAGTCCTCCAGGACCGCCCTGTCTCCACTGGTCACAGCTTCTCTGAAAAGCTGACATTGGGTTTATTCTGCAATATCAGGACAGCTATACTGGACCACACGGAAAAGTGTACAGGAACATCTGGAATAATGACTGGGATCATTTGGAAAAGTGTAGACAAATATCTGGAATAGAGTCCAGGAACATCTACTGCAGTGGCAAAGAACATCTGGAACAGTGCAGATGAACATCTGGAGCAGTGTCCAGGAACATCTGGGAAAGTGTACAGGAACATATGGAATAGTGTACAGGAACATCTGGGATAGTATACAGGAGTATCAGAAATAGTGTCAGGAACATCTGTAACAGTGTAGTTGAACTTCTGGAATATTGTCAATGAACATCTGAAACAGTGTATCTGAACATCTGGAATAGTGTCAAGCATGGACTGGAGATCCCACAGTCAAAGTCGAGGACTCCACCAGGGGTGGTGGAGAATGGAAGGTCTAAGATATCAAAGTTCATGCTCAATCATTCAGGTACAAAATCCAATAATGGTCAGTCAGGTCATCTGGACAGTTTCTTTTTAGTGGAAAGATGTTTCGCCTTCTATCTGGAGGGCTTCATCAGTCTGAGGAGTCCCAAGCAAACTGTTTTCCCCACTAAGCAGTACACTCCTTTATTGGACCAACCAGTTTGCTGGTGATAAGATGGTTTCTGGGGGCTGTCCTGTCCCCCGTCGACTCCTTCCAGGCAGGCAGCCACAGCCAAAGTGGTTCAAGACATCAAAGTTAATTTTCAATCATCCAGGTACAAAATCCAATAATGGTCAGTTAAGTCATCTGGACAGTTTCTTTTACTGTAGGACCTCCAGGTCCAGACCAACAAACAGGTGATGGCTAACCAACCAGATCTTGTGGTGGTCGACAACAAGAGAAAAAGGCACTGGTGATAGATGGAGCAATCCCAAGAGACTAACATTAGGAAGTAGGAGCAGCTGGAGAAACACCAAGAGCTGAGAGAGGAAATATAGAAGTTGTGGCGAGTCAAGGGGTCCGTGGTGACAGTTACAATAAAGACTTTCACTCCCTGAGGATCCCCAAATATAACTCGGCATCAGAGGTCTTATCGAGACAGGGGTGTTTTTTAGAATTCACACCAAGATCAAGATAAAAAAATTATTCTTTATGTTTTCATGTACATGTTTTTGCTTTTTGCATAAAAGAAAGTTTGATTTAAAAAATAAAGTAAAAAATACTTTAAGGTGTTGACAGTTTTCTGCTTCCTTTGCAGGCTGCTGTTTTATAACATACTACACTCGTAAATCAGCTTTGGAGGCACAGAATGCTCTGCACAACATGAAGATCCTGCCAGGGGTAGGTCACGCCGTGTGTTTGGGTTCTCCTATTTATCAGAGTCAGAGTTTCTTTATATGTCATTCGCACGTGGAACAAAATTGTGTACACAGAGTCCCAGGTACAGCCAACAATAAAATGTAAAAGAAAACAGTAATAAGATCTAAGATATGAAATAAAAAAGCATTAACTAAAAAGACACTAAGCACTAATAGCATAAAAACAATATGCCGAACAGCAGCACGAACATGAGTCTGTGTGAGCAGATGAGTACGAATGAACACAGCAACATGAAACAGATCAGCAGCAACATGATGTGATATTTCACAGTGATTATTCTGGTTAGAGATTCATGAGTCTAACAGCCTCAGGTAGAAACTGTTCCTCAGTCTAGTGGTTCTGCACTTAATGCTCCTTAACCTCCTTCCTGAGAGGAGTGGGGCAATATGTGTATGTGCTGGGTGAGTGGGGTCCTTCATGATGCAGGTGGCCCTCTTCCTGCATCTGGAGGTGTAGATGTAAAATATGTAAAATATAGTTAAACATGGCACCAGTTTGAGCTGAAACTGTCAGATTGGATCCAAGGGTGTGCACATCTGCTGCACCCTTACAATACAATACAACTTTATTTATAGAGCACTTTAAAACAACACTGTTGGCCAAAGTGCTGTACACTAGGACATACAAAAACATAAAAACCCCACACGTTAAAAATATGAAATAAAATAAAGATAACAAATAAAATAAAACAAATAACTTAGAG